ACACCTTCGTCTGCAACTGACATCACAGCTCGATAATTAGATATTCAGCTCAGAAGTTAATATTTCTAAATTTAAACTTTTTCGAGATCACGTCGGGGTCACCAATTTAGCAATGATCTGTTCACCTTGCTAATTAATAAAACTCTAAAAATTTTCAATGTTAATAAACTTTTATTCAACTTTTTACAGAGAGAAAAATCGGAACGTTCTCCTCAATCAAAACAAAAAACTTAAAAATATTTGAAATTGAATTTTACTTTTTAAATTCAATAAATGCACAGCCAACTGGGTCGCCACAATACATTCAGGTAAGAAACCATTTCAAAATTTTGTAAGTTATATCAATAGTAACCCTTGTTTCGGTCTAGCAACCACTAAGAAATCTCATCTGCACACAAATTTCTTTTTAACTGTCTTAATATGCGCCCATGCAACCCCCACTTTTTGCTTACATACAATCTTGACTCGTGTAGAACAGCTGCAATGTTGCAAAAGTTCAATCAAGCCGGCTGCAAAAGTGCGTCAGTTTTTTAACCGAGATATCTGCTGAGTCGACAATATTCAGACAATAATGACTGATTATCGAGTAAAACATGTAATTGATTTCAATATTTATTTTCTTGTATAGTTAAATATTTTTCATAGAAGTATCAAATATAAACAAGAAATGATCTATGTACGACAGCTGCACGGCTTAAATCTGTGAACACAAACATTCATTCTTTCGGTGAGAAGAAAATTACAATTCAAATTAGTTTAATATATGTCTTTATTGGCCTTAAATTCCTGTTTAATCTCCTTTGACTAAAGTTTAAGCCATTCTTTTGTTGTTAAGTTATTAAGCGAGGTTAAACATCGCTTGTTAAATTTTAACTAATAGTTGAATTTAACTCATTCAAGGTATTAGAGAGATTATTACAATGCTATATAATAATAAAGTTCGTTTTATGCCTAACATATAGTATAGTTTAATATAATATCGTAAAATAAAACAAATATTATTCTTGTTCACATTTATACTGAATCTACATTGTCTAAGCTTTGGCAAGATTTTGCATACACTCTTACTTTTTCACTACAAAGATCTGTTTTTGTGTGTTCGAACATAAAAATCTAGCAAAAGTCTAGTCAGTGTAGACGCCTAGTTAGCTATATTCAAGCTGTCATAAATTTTGCTTATGCCTAAACTCATTTGGGATTCATGTAAGCATTAGTTAAACTTTAACTGAGATATATTTGTTGTTTAAAAACTAACCTTCTACATTCCAATGTCTGCCTGTCCCTTGATCACTGGAACGGGGTTTCTGCTTTTGACTTTCACAGTCCAATGAGTAAAATTGGTTAATAAAATTGTACAATTTTTAGAATCAGTTTTATTTCACAAAGAGAGCATAATGGTATTAAAGGTCGCGATACAATATCTCTTAAAAATAATACTTATTATTATAACTAGACAACTTCAGCAAAACTTTTTTCGGTTCATCGGTTTTAGTACAAATAAGTTTGTCTACTCTTTAGATAATTAAATGAGATTTTTTATTTTAATATTTAAATGAGACTATTTTGTGACTTGTTAATATTGTGTAAAATAATAAAATTTCATAGAAAGTTTACTTAATATCTCCATTTGATAAACTGTGGAAGATAAGAGGATCTATAACATAGATCCAACTACTGGTGGAACTGGTAAATCAAAAGTAAAACGAATTCTATGAACTTACTTACGGCTCAGTTAGTAGGTGCGTACCGTAAGAATTTAAGCTAACTATACCTGTGTATTTTGGTTTGACTTAAGTTCTTACGGTACGTGCCGATTAACTGTGCCTTTAACCAGTTAAATAAAATTTTTTTCAATGTGTATTTCATTTCACTCAGTTAATATGAAGTCTCCTCAGAATTCAGAACTGCCAGATTTTACTTGTAAATTTTTTTGGTCTTACGGCAACTCTATTCTGGCGCTTAATTCTCGGATAATTCACATCAAACCAATCCGAAATAAGTGTTCGAGTAAATAAATATTCTTCCCAAGCAGAATTCAACGAATTCTGATCCATAAAACGAATTGAAACAATCGTTTGAGCATCATCTGAACGTCAAATCAGCAAAAATTTCGAGTGTGATTCATACACATGCACGCTTCAATGGATGTCGTCTATATGAGCGCATTTGCACTAATCATAAAATTACGCCACTGAGGGTACATTTCATTTGAATAGAAACGAAGCCAACAACAAAACTTGCACAATTTATGATAAACGAGTGTGCAGGAATTTTCTCACTGGACAAGACATTTTAGTTCTCACACTCGAGTGGAGTGAAGTGGAGTGGAGTGAAGCAGAGTGCAAAGGAACGTCATTATCAACGCGTATGCGGCATCAGTACGAAGGGTTGCTGCTGTTCGGCTAAAGCGCCCAGGTAAAGCGAAAAAACAAAAACAACAAAGTTCATGTGCGTGAGAAACAAAAACACGAAACACCTCAAACAGGCGAAGACATAGAAAAAAGGACACGATCACGAATTCAATGTCTTGCCGAACACTTCGTGTTACCGTTTCTCTGGTATTTACGTTTTAATATATATTTTCTTGCGCTGCGTGTGCGAGGATCAGTATCCTTTTGGATTTCGGTGCGCGTGTTTTGATCGCGCAAGCAGTCGGTACGGTTAAGTTTAAATTCGTTAATTAAGCGCAAATTGAAAAATTTATTTACTTAATGAACATTTAAAAAATTATTAAACGTCTTCAGCGCGTGTGCAATAATAAAAAATTTATTTTTAATGTTATTTGTTAAAACTTTACGTTAACCAAAGTTTAAGTGTTGTGTTTAATTAATATTCTATATTTTTAAGTTTTTCAAAACTCTCCCTAAACGATCTATTCAAAACAAATCTTATTGATTGATTACTAAAGTTCAACAACAATTTTGGATTATTATCACGTCTCGACAAACTGGATTATTGTTTAATAATATTTTCAGCTGAAAGGATTATAATATTTCATAGAAATGGATTACAAAAACGATTTAAATTCTGATGATGATTTCGACTGTTCGAATAGCTACGGTGGCGATAACTTCAATAGCAATAATAATTCTAACTCTAGCTTTAATGCCAATGGACAGTCTCGGACATCTAATCCAAATGGTCTGTCCAAAGCTGAACTGAGAAAGGTAAGCTGGCATACGAGTGCAAAGAAACTCTTAAATGAATTACAAAACTGCATTAATCACTCTTATTGTGTAGGGACTCACAATTAATAGTTGACCTATGACCAATTAATAGTTGATCAATTTGATTTGATCAAAATTTGTAAACATAACAAGATATTAAGTCTGGAGTCTAAACTGAAAGTTTAGTATAAAGTATAAAATAGACATGATCTTAGGATTTATACGATCATATGAATAATTAAGTATTCGTTAATACTTAGAGAAAAATTACTGAAAGTTTTGCTACAAATTACTGAAATGAGAAATTTAATGTGATATTAATTAAATTAAATTTTATTAATTTTCGGTTCTAAAATAATTTTACATCAAAACTATATTAACTGAAACTGCTTTAAGTATTAAAACTTAACTCTAAGTAACCGTGATTGTTATTCTCTTTTCATAAAGTATTTCAAACTATTTAAAAGCTACAAAAATATAGTCTGGAGTATTTCTGAATAATAACAAATTATTTTGTCTGCATGTTATATAGCTAACAATAGTTTAGTTTAAATACAAATTATTTTAAAATGTGTTTTTTCTATATTAATTCTTAGAAAGTAATCAAGTAATCCTCTAATATTGCTAATTAGCTTAAACAAGGTGCAATTATAATAAAAATGAATAAAAATATAACAAATTGAAAATTTTCAAATTAATCGAAAATATATTCAAAAACAATATCTCTCAAAACTATATTTTTAAAGCATATATAGGTATGATATGAACATTAGTCCTTATATCATTTCCTTTTAATATTTTGATTTTTATCTTAATTGAATTACTATTTCATAATAATTTTGAAAGTAGGTAGAGTTTATTGTTTATATAACTGCTAACATCTTTTAGTAATTCTACTACTGCCTACTTAAAGGTCTACGATTACATATTTAGGGGGTAGTGGTTTGTTTGATAAACAAATCTTTGATAAAATATTATTTAATTCAAAATAAATCTCACCACCTCAGTTTGAACCATTATAAATATAAATTAAAAATGTATAAAGTTAGCAAAAAGTATTTGAAATTTTTAGGATACATTTTTTAGCATAGAGGATCTTAGAACAAAAATTACTTTAACTGCACATCAAATTAATGGAAAGAGAAATTTACAATTTTAATTCACTCACTTTACTACTTTTCGATTCTGAAATAGTTTTGCATCAAAAACTAGTATTTTGTAGATGCCATCACTAAATTCACTTCAAAACTGCGAAAGGAATTTTTGATATTAAGGTATTATATACCAAACGGTAACTAAAACCAACAGTTAACACCTTCAAAATATCAGAAATCCCCATTATTCGGAA